GGTGTGGGAAAGCCTCAGCTGTTCCATAACCTTGGGATGTGTAAATCTATCATAAGCCATGGCCACTGTCCTGCCTGACACCAGGGACTGACCTGGCTACTTCCCATGCTGAAAACATTAATATGTCCAAAATGAGATAAACAGTCAAAGAGTGTTTGTGGATCAGGGCTTGCATTATACCTCCCATTACACCAGTACACTTCCCCTTATACCTCTGTGAAGGAGCTTCTCAGACTCTCAATTCCATTTACTCCAAACTCAGAAAGCTGCTTTTACCTGAATGATCTCCTCCTTGGAGCTGAACTCTGATACCACAACATTTTGGAGACCTGATACTTGAGTAAGAAAAATGTGCAGCCTCCGTGAAGCCAGCTGGTGAGCGTTATCTGGCAGACATTTTTCTAACGCCTTCTGTATATTCAGGATTACTCTATTATTTGGATACAGGTACCGGAGGATTGAACCCTCCATATTTTTCACAGTTTCAGTCATGTAACCAACCACTGCATCTAGAAGGAAAAAGTGACCATGCTTAGTAGATCATGCAGCCATATGGGAGCAAGTCTTGCCCTTAAATCTGTGCGGGCCAAAGACAGAGAAGTCAAGGGGAGTTTTATGTTTGTATGTGAAAACTGAATGGGAAGGTTCAAAAAGGTTCAAAAATGATTTTACCAAAGTTGGTAAATAACAGTGCAGGGGCAAGAAACAACATTTTTGGGGATAATGAAGGCTTTTATTACAGCAGATGAAGTCCAATGGCTGCGTATTAAAGCAACAAAACCTATAAGCTGTTGGGTTTATCAGCTGGTAGATTCCATAAGAATTAATTAACTTATTCTCGCATCTAGAACGCTACAGGATACTATTACTGTAACACTACATAGCATCTATAGCACTATTAATGGGTATCTACTACTATACATAACTGGAGCTGTGGCCCCTTAGTAGAAAGTGCAACCATTGCTGTTTCTAGGCTGCATGGGTTATGTTTTCCTTTTTCCTAATGAACGCTCCAGTCAGTACTTTTAGACTTGTCCAATGACTTTTCTTTAAAAAGCACAATACGACACAGTAAATTCAACCAGGCGTTTCTTACCTATTTCACACCCACAAGTCACTAATGTGGCTATAAGTGCCCCGGAGGATGTCCCATAGATCTTGGATGCTGATCTCAGTATCTCAGGTGCCAGTTCTTGTAGAGCTTTCATCACTCCCATTTGATAAAACATCAGGAATCCACAGCCTTTAAAAAAAATAGAGAAAGGTGCATGCTTTGCATCCTCTTCTGCCATCTTTAGTCATGCTATGAGTTTGTGGCAGCAGGGTACAAGCTGGCCAGGAGCAAGTGACTTGGTTGTGCTAATCACTTTGTATCAGAGTGTAGCAGAGGCACAGAAGTGTGCTCAGAAGGTATGCTCCTGTCCTCAGAACAGACTGCTGCCCTGAGTTTGTTCTGAAAATGCCCTTGAGCTGTGAACGTCCTAAAGGGGATCGTTGTGGGCAGGCTTAGGTGGAGTTGGGACATGTACCATTTGTTCCTGGTTCATGTAAGCCAGGTGTAAATTCTGTTACATAGATGTGTCTTCACTCATGAATATCCCAGTTGGTATGGCACAATCTGTGCAGTCATAGCTTCTTCTTGTTGGCAATACACATGGCAATTCAAGTCTCTTTATGGCTCTTATGGCAGAGAAGATTTTCAAGATAGGATTTTTCTAGCAAACTCTAATGGCCGGTGTCCTCATCTCCCTTACCTTGACCTATTCTAGGGTGTTCAGATATAGTTCCTTGTAAGTGTGGGTAAGGGTTTCAGGTGACAATATGGGGGTTTCCCTTGGTCAAGGATTGTGTTTGAAAGCAGAGGATTGGACCCCCTCTCGCCACTGGTTCACTGCCAAGAGCTCTGGATTTAGTTGCTGGCCAAGTTCATGGGGAGCTCTTCCCCCTTTCCCTGCTTTTCACTGTTCTGGATCCACTATTAGTTCTCGTGCACCATGCCAGAGTGTGAGAATTGGGCCCTGCATACTGATTATCTCTGTGGGGGTGGGTGGAATGGCTGAGTTCAAGAATTTATGCACTCCTGAGGAAACTGCAAGGGGCCTCGTTACAAATAATGGCTGATCATTACCAGACAAGCCTTTAAAGATGCAAGTGTCCATTGCATTCCCTGTTGCTAGTCCCTTCATCTCCTTTGCTTTTCCCTGTGGGAAAAATGTATGCCAAGAGCTCAATGAATTCTAGGACAGGAAGGGCTCTTCCCTGCTTTGGAAATTTACAGAGCAGTTCCAACTGCACCAGGTAAGCCCAGTTTAGCTCCAAATGGCTAAGGTATAAACAGGTTCAGTTTGATGATAGAAAAGCAGATAGGAAGAGAATTGCCTCTGTGACCAGTATGATCCAGCTAAACACATTGCCTCATTTGGAAAACCTCATGTCTGCACGGACAGATCTGACTGTGAAAATCATTTGGAAAGACATTGGTGATGATGAAACCTGAACAGGATAGAAATGAGAGTTGTGTAAAGAAGAATAACAGATCTAGAAGTATGGGCAAGATAATCCCTGAGATTGTGACACTGGGAAATTTCAGAAGAGTTGTCTCTTAGGGGCAGGATCTTTCATTGAGTATTGATACAGAGCCAGACTGATTACAGCAGTGGTTCTCAACCTTTTTTGTAACAGGACCCATTTGTAAACATTGATGGCCAGTCCTGACCCACTGCCCCTCGTCCCCCGGATCCAGCCCCACAGTGTGTGGGGCAAGGAGTGCGTGTGTGGGGTGTGTCCCTGTGTGTGGGGAGGGGTATGTGTGGTGGGGGGACAAGGAGCTCCAAGCAGCCCCTTGCAATCTGGACCTCTGCCAGTCTGCAAGTGAAATTCCACGGTTTCCCATGTTTTTCTCCTTTAAAGGAGAATCCATTTTTAAAGTTTGTTTGTGACCACTTAATATGCTCTTGTAACCCACTTTTGGGTTGCGACCCATGGGTTGAGAAACACTGGATTAAGGCACTGTTCTGAAAAGGGACTGTCAGTGCCACTGCAATATACACAGCGACACCTAGCGCTCACCTTATGTCTTCCTCCTTATTGGGATGTTTGTTCTGGGGCGGGCACCCTCCTGGAAGGCAGCATCTTTGCCATAATTAAGAGACAGAGTTGGAGGACTAGCTGGGGTACAAGCTACCTTCATATACTCTTTGGATTTGGTTCCAAGTCTTCCTTGTCTGATGAGTTGCAGGAGTGCAGTGTGCTGTAACCTGTCCCCATGACACGGCTGGTTTTACTTATAATCACCCTGAAGCGTTCAGGGGATACCATGATATCTACTGTGTTGTTACTGCAAAGCTGGGTAGTTTACTCAGCAGCAATAGGTGAAAGGTCTGTCTCAAGCCTTGGCAGCCATCAGGCCGGTGTGGTTAAGGAATGCTAGTTTTTGTAACCAATGGTGTGCAAGGGATTGGCATGGCTGCCCAGTATAACATCCATGCCTTTACCTCCCAAGGCTAAAGGCCAGGTAGATTCATGTTTACAGGTGGGCAGGAGGGGCCGGGGTTTGTCATGATGCCAGAGCAAGAAATTCTCATGCCTTTGGATTTGCACTCGCATGCCCTGACAAGCCATCACACTCCAGATAATACTAGAATTGCTTTAATTGTGGCAAATGATCCACCCACATCTTGTCTGAAATTGCAAGATGAAGGGCCACTGTGTCCAGACCCTCGACATCAAAAGGTGGGTGTTCTACCACCTCACACAAACCCCACTTGGGAGTATAATACAAAGCTTCAAACCAGGGAACACTTTAGAGCAGGGCTTAAGGATTTAAATGAGATTCTGATCCATTATCCTGGATACATACAGATGCCAGGATAGAGATGTACTTTATAGACAAAGTAGATCGAGAGATGCAAAAGTTTTCATGAGTCCAAGCTTATTTGATGAAAGCTTCTGCCTGACTTGAGGCTAACATGGCTAATTACTTCTCTGTTGATATGTATAGTCAGAGATGGTCACTGCTCCCCTAGAGCTTATGGGCTAAAGAGAAAGGAGAAAATGAAAATTAACCCCATTTTGGAGACTAGGCCTGACAGACAGAAAGGCTGAGATGGAAGTATCTGGAAGGGCTCAGGCCCCCTGCACTGTTGGTATTCAGGCAGGAGTTCACGCCAAACTCCACTGAAAATCTCAGCCCCAAGAGCTATGCGGGCAGTCCATAGCAGAGCTGAGAAGTCAACCCAGTTCTCCTGAATCTCAGTCCACCCTGTTTACCAAAAACAATCCCTCTCTCCTCTGTTTTCACTAAGTACACTACATTTAGACTAAAACCTTGTGCCGTGTAACTGTGTGAGTTCTGGTCATGATGTTTTCATGAGTATGTAAGGAAATTACTTGACAGGGATGATCCTGCCTTGAGCAGGGCCTTGGACTAGATGGGATTTCCTGATGTCCCTTCCAGACCTGTTGTTCTGTGATTCTGTTATTTTATTCAACACACAGCTTTCCTTTATTCCCAGCCAACTTGCAGCAGGGCTGCATGATAGGGACCTGCCTGCTTTGACTACTGTAGTCAAAATCAGTTCCTGTCACTGAATTTGAGCCGCTCCCAGCAGCATATGAAGGGCTTGGACTCATTTCTGCAGCCTACACTTTGTTTTGTCTCCAGAGCCTCTGTCTTGGGGAAGATTGCAAGCCCTTTGTAGGGCTTGGGAGGGGAATGGTCTCTTGGGTTCTTAAAGATACAAACTGCTCTGGGTTCTGGTTGGAGAAGGCAGGTACAAGATATGTGCTGTTCCCTGTGGGGCTGCAGGCAGGTTGCGATGGTTGTTGGGTCTGGATTTTGGATCCAGATGCCTTATTCTAGGGGGAGACCCACCCTCAGACTGACCATGACCTTTCCATTCAATAAAAGGAAAATTTATTGATACACAGTGATAACAGAAAAAGAGCAATACAAACAATGGAGCAATTCTATATATCTATGAAATCCTAGGGCTGTCATCAGAGTCAAAGTACAACTGGCCAGGTTGTAGTCTTCATTCTAAGGCTCTCTTTTAGGTATCAGATGTCAGCATGTCAGCAGTCTGGAGGTGGGATGCCGAGGCTAACACCCTCCTCAGTGGGGTGGATGAGACAGGTTGTTGGTGTGCCCTCTGTCCATGGTGGCCTCAAGCACCCTTCCCCAGGGGACACGGAGGGGGACCCATCTCGGGGAGAAGGATGGGGAGGGACCTTTTCTTACTCTCAAGGCTCTGTTTTTGTGTTCTCCTTCCCTCCCGATGAGACATGATGACTTTTCATCCATGGCTATCGCTGGATGGTTGTCATGCGTCCATGTCCTGTGTTATCAGCATATTCCAAGCTTATCACATGCACATATATGAATTTGGTCTTTCCAGGCCTTCTCCTAATGTAGTCTATTCCCCCAAAACCAGGACTCAGACCCCCCTGCTCTGGGATCTTGTTAGCTGGTGCCACCTTGTCTTGTGCCATGGAATAGTATAGTACATGCTCCCTCTGTTTTCCAGACTATGTGTCCTTGTTGGCCTTGTTGTGTTAGACAGCCTGTCTGCTTCCAAGGCTGTGAGAAACTGTGTGATTGTGTTACTCAGACTCTTAGAAATCAATAAACCCCTCCTGCCCATTCTGAGCCATTCTAATGCAGATATATATAGATATTCCTATAAGAGAATTCCCAGAAAACAAACCTTTAAATACCATTTTCTAAGGCAACCTTCTCCTCTTTGAAGGTTCACACCTTCACAACATAAATGGAACATAATCACTGGAATCACCTGAAATGTTCACGAGATTTGTGGGGAGGACCTCCATCAGTCATCTCAGGAAAAGTATGATGGCATTCATGGTTAGGGGCTCCAATGCACTGGAAAATCTCCAAAAGAATAACAACAAAACAAACAATCAATCCAGCCTTCTCAATCTTTGACGTGGCTGAGCTCCTTTATTGAACTGTGCTCTATAGGCAAGAGGAGCTTGGATTAAAAATTAAAATCTGAAATGCAGGATTGGCACATGCACCAATGTTTCATTTTGGGGTGAAAATTATTTTATGCAAGATGATGGAAAAGTAGAAAATCTTGGTTATAACCTGGCTCACATTGGTTTCATTTAAATTTATTAAGAAGAGGTTGAATATAAGTACAGATAAGCTAGGCATCAAATGAGAGAAGTGTCCATGCTGCTTGCATACTGGTCTAACTAAAATGCTGTACATTCATATTCAGGCAAGGCTGGAGATGCAGAGAGATGAAGTAAGTTCATAGAGGGCCAAGGG